TATGATGTAGTTGTATTATGTATGATGTAGTTGTGTTATGTATGATGTAGTTGTATTATGCATGACGTAGTTGTATTATGTATGATGTAGTTGTATTATGTATGATGTAGTTGTATTATGTATGATGTAGTTGTGTTATGTATGATGTAGTTGTGGTATGTATGATGTAGTTGTATTATGTATGATGTAGTTGTATTATGTATGATGTAGTTGTATTATGTATGATGTAGTTGTGTTATGTATGATGTAGTTGTGGTATGTATGATGTAGTTGTATTATGTATGATGTAGTTGTATTATGTATGATGTAGTTGTATTATGTACACACTGACAACTATATCTTGAATGATGCATCCCTCATACAATTTGAAAACATGTTTTGTGAAACATTACGTAATTTAAAAAAAAAGTAAATTCTTCTATGGCTATAGCACCTAGATTCCCAGAAATTCAGACTATTTCTAGCATCTTGCAAAATCTTGTGACTTGATTCCGCTAAGCAGCATGTCATACTTTACAAGTTCATAAAAGTAGGTACCACAAAGTGACAATCTGTTTTAAACATGGTAGCAATAATGAGTTTTGAATAATAAGCCACAACTACACAGTTAAGTTTACAAAAAAAGAATATTGTTACGTTCTCCCAAGCAAAAATCGTAAAATCAATTATTTGTTTAAAATTTACTTGTATTACTATTCAAATGAAGTTGATTTAAACCTTTTCACCACCAGTTCCATCTTTTTCATCACAAATTCACAAAATAGTTCTGTTTATAGTCTGCACTTTCCTTCAGAAGATTAAGACAAAAATAGTCAAATTTGTTGAATAAAAACCGAATATTGGTCCAAATCTTGTCTGTTGGCTCCAAAATTAGGGTTCATTTCCAGAAATATTGACGAATATAAGAAAAAAAGTGTAGTAAAATTGGCACAAAAAATCTGGTGATGAAAAATTTAATTCAATTCTTGATTGCTGGTACCATAGTCATTCTATTATTGCCATCATAAATTTACTTTAAATGTTTCTCCGCTCAGAAACTAAATAATGTCCATGAT